ACTGCAATGAACGGGACCAGGTGATCTGAGGAACCATCTCAGCCTAATGGGATTGGCCTACCCCACTCATTTTAGCAAAAGGGACATGCTGTGAACATCAGTCAAGGGGCTAGAGGGGTCTAGAAGAGCCCTCTCTCTTTGTTCTTTGGAGCATCTTGAATATGGAGGTAACCACCCTTCTGCCTTCCAGAAGACCATTAAAAACATTGTTCTGCTAGTTAGCTTGAGGTCTTGATTGGGGTGCTCTATGCTTGAGAGGGCTGGTAGACTAATTGGGAAGATGCCACTAATGTGCCATTCTTGCTTTTGGTTTTCTAGTTTTGTACCATATTAATTGTTATATTTTAAATCCATCCATTAATCCATCCATCCAACGGGGTTTCATCCTACATGTAGGCAGGGCTGGGATGTGTGTGTGTGTGTAAATATTTCTCCTTTTGCTTTATTATGCTAAGCCCTCTGCCAGTGAAAACGAAGTTGGGGGGGGGGTCTTTTTTCACTGGCAGAGGGCTGCAGGAGGCCATCCAGGCCAAAAAAGTCTGTTGGCTTACTTGAACGGCTGTTCTCTGTGCGCTGCAGGAGAATCCAAGCATGGGTTAACTTCAACCCATTAGCCTAGAGACTGAGTTTGAAAGTCTTCACCACGCCTCCTCTGCCCTCTGGAAGTCAGTTTTTTAACAGGGCGCAGCCGTAAGGAGGAATGTCCAAGAAGAGGAGTTGGTGCCAACAGGCAAGGTTCCCCACTGACCCTGGACCAGCCGGACACAGGATGGGGTTGGATTCTCCTGCAACGCAGAGAGAACAGCTGTTCAGGTAAGCCAACGGACTTTCTCCTGTGCGCTGCTTGGAGAATCCAAGCATGGGATATACCCGAGCTAAAAGTGTCACGGGTGGGAAGAGGCCTGGTCCAGGGTCCCGGATTCCGATTGAACACTCTGCAGTACTCGCCACCCAAATGATGCCTCGGCCGAGGCGAACTTGTCCACCTTGTAATGTTTGATGAAGGGCGACTGAGAAGACCACGTTGCCACCCTGCAGATCTCTTGTACTGAAGCTTGTGTAGCCCAAGCTGCTGTGGTGGCCATGCTCCTGGTAGAGTGAGCTGTGATAAATCTGGGTAGTGGTCGAGACTGGTGCTCATAGGCCAAAGCTATGCAGGCTTTACGCCAGCAGTCTATAGTTGAAGGAGGAACCTTCTTGCCCATTGTTGACGGCTGATAGGACACAGAGGGACTCCAACTTGCGGAAAGACACTGTGCGTTTTAATACACCTGCGAAGAGCCTTCCTGACATCTAAGAGGTGCCATTTCCTTCCTAGTGAATGAGCCGGCCTAGGGCAGAAATTTGGAAGGATGACCTCCTGGCCCCTGTGGAACCAGGAGTTAACTTTTGGAAGGAAGGGTCCAACCTCAAGACAACTCTGTCACCTCCCCCCCCCCTCCAATAATTTTTATTTTTTTATTCTCTTACATACCATTTTAAGTATACATTAACATAATTGGTATTCTTCTTTACATTTATCATTCTTATCCATTTACTACTTCATTTAATAAGTTATAATGTGCAATTTGGGTTGCTTTATTTACCATCCCTTCCTCCTTTTGTAACACCTCCTTGTTTTCCCTTTCTTTTCTCCCTCTCTCCTTCTCTTTCTCCCCCTTCCATCCTCCTCTCCTTACCTTTCTTCTTTCACCCGTCTTCCTTTCTTTCTCCCCTCCTCTCTCCCTTTCTTTTTCTATTATTGTTGGTGTATATTTCAAAACTCAGTTTA